AGGTGAGCTCATCGGTGTGGCGGCAGCAGCAGCGTTTGACATGTCCCAATCACAACGAGAAGATTGGCTGATCACCGAGGTTGCTATTCATGCACGAAATCCCTAGAGAGAAGAATAGTCGTGAAGTCCCAGCGGAAAACCCTCACACCATGCAGTCACAACAAGCTTACAAAAAACCTGATATCATCATCATCATGCCAAGCACAACGCCATAGTAGTGAGCTCTCATACTAAATGTTGAAGGAATGTCAGGCCGTAGCGGTAGAGTCCGCATATACGTCCAAGAAGGAAAATACGACGGCCCAGTGCGATGCCACGCAAGACCGACCGTTGTTCGCGTATTTTGCTGTTGTAAAGGCTCGGCCTTGCACACCGCGGTCTCTTTATATGCCCCCCTACTGTTTCGAATGAATACATGCTTTGGCGTGCCCGATGCCAGAGTGTGTGGGCGTATTGGATGCCAACCGAGATGGTGCTTAGCGAGAAGCTCCAGTGTTGGAATGTATGTTCCTTTTCCTCAGCTGAGCTCGGGGGCTTCGAATTCGGGTAGAAGTGTACAAAAACCAACAAGAATCTGCGGAAAGTTCCTCAAGACTTCCGCATTATCACCGACACAGATAGTTGATCATGCGCGTATTCTCGCACACCGATAATTTCCCATATTTTTCACAACACTCCTCAACAACGCCAGAGTTGATCATAGAGACACTTGCAAACCAAAGTAGGACGCTATCCCACTCGAGAGCTTATGCCGAAAAAATAGAAATAATAAGGAAATACAGCAGAACCGAAGAGGAGTCAAAATTCATTGAGTAATGTTTTTCACGATGATAACCTTACTGCTTGTTTGCGGTACTCTTCAAAGGCCACGAATGCGATGGTGGTGTACGGACCAATACGAACCTGGAAATGGAAACTTGCAGTATTGTCGTCCTCACACACTGGTCATCGGCGATATGGTAGAGAGACGGGGCTATAGTCTTTTCAGAAATTTAATCGTTTGCCCAGATTTTAATGATTTCCCACTTGCTTTCGGAAAAATGTTTTCAATAATTCTCTTGGAAAAAAATGCACTTTTCTGAGTTTCTTCCTGAAAGTTTGTCAAGAATCTATGCAATGATTCAATAAAATATCACATGACCATTATAAAAACACACGGACAAAAAACAGCGTTTGTCGAAATACAAGGAATTGATAGATCTTCATATGCAATCAAGTAAATTATTGAAAATTCGGCTGAACAATTCCAAGGCACGCGAGGAAGGGGAGAGAGAGACCGACCTAATAGCATAGAAGTCTTACCCAGTTCGGGATGAAGCCTTTATATACGGCAAATAGACCTTCCGACTTCACCGTCTTCAATAAGCAATCGGTCAAGCCACGGTACACTCTGAGGTTAATGATACCAGTGCACATGGTCAACTACATGTGTTGGTGACAATATGGAAATTTGGAGGAAATTTTTGCTCATTTCTGTACAGTTCTACCCAAGTTCGTATAATTAGTGAAAAATCTCCTGAGCTCAGCCGAGGAAAGCGAGCATATATTCCTCCAACACTGTTCTTGATGGTGTACAAATACTTACCTTCCCTTCGTAAGATCTTGGTTCATGAGACGAGTCTTCGCTACGTCAACAGGTGTGCTCACAACGGCTGCGACGAGACCAGCGATCATCGAAGAAACGAAATAACTGAATAATCGTTCAACCGAAGCGGAATAATTCACCCACTTTTACTCACCTGAACGTATTATCGCCGAAAACTTTAACGATTTCTTCTTTGCATTGATCATAGGTCGCCAACTCAGCCGCGTTCACCAAAAATGCACGTTGCATATTCGGGATGACCCCAACACTGAAGAAAATTTTCCCATCAATTCATTACAGTGCGTGCCAATTTGATACGAAAATGTGAAAAATGTTCCGCGTTATTTTCCGAGATAATGAGAATCAATCTGAAACTATGAACAGGTGATGCGATAAAAGTAACCTTTCGAGACTATGATAGCGACAAGTTGTTCACTATCATTAATCCCGGAATAGAAAACGCACATTCTCCACATTTGCATAGTATCAAATTGGCACGTACTGTCTTTTCGAGTGACCAACCTGATTCCCCGCATGCCTTCGCTTTTATACATTTTGAAAAGTCCGTCAAAAACGTTTCGATAACGCCTTTCAGCTCCCAGTTTCAAATCGCCTTGCATTCTGACCTGCCGCGAAATGAAATTGAATTTCATCGGACAGAAGTGCTCACCTTTATAACATCTACGGGGTTGATCAACGCTGAGCCGAGAATACCACCGACTCCTCCTGCGAGAATCTTCACTTTCAGGGACGCTGATGATTCTGAAAAAATGAAAAAAGCCAAGAAAATCGTCTGTAATGGTTTAGGTTTTTCACGATCAATCGGAACCCGATACGTTGTGTGTGGAAAAATATGCACATGGGCAACTGCATGTGTTGGTGAGAATATGATAATTTCGAGGAATTTATCATTGGTTCTTGAACAGTTTTACTCTAGTACATATAAAATAAGTAAGGAAACGCCCAAGCTCAGCTGAGGAGAGCAAATATATGCCAACACTGCACAGGAACAACAGCTCTCTCCTTGGTGAAAATATATGCATGTCAACTCTTCGTACGATGTCACGAATTCTGACCAATTGAAGAAGTATGGGAAAGTATTTTACACGTTCCTGGTAAATTCGTGTGGAACTACTATAACTAGTGAGGAAACTTCTGAACTCAGCTGAGGAAAACAAACCATATATTCCAACACTAGATCGACGTACCGATAACAGTGTGGATTTGCACATGATCAACCATTCGAGAAATTCTCATTGATTTCTGTACACTCCTGCCCTAAACCGTGTGAGAATTCCAATAATATAGCTTTGGCAACTCCTGAAATCAAGCACTTACTATCTTCGCCGAGTAGTTTGCATGTCTCGTCTCTCAAGGGTTCGTATAGTGCAAAAACTAGGCCCCTATATAGACCCTGTCGCACTAGAGCTGCTGAGAACCCCTTGTACAAACCAGAAGTGCCTTCGTTTTGATAAACCTACAGAGAGGGGATATTGCCGTTTGTGGAAAGATACCACTACAGGGCTTAGTGCCCACTTGATACAGTCGTGGCAATGATGAATTCGGGAGAAGGAAGACCCACTACAAATTTCGGCGCAAAGGGAAACAGATGGAGAAATTGAAATTAGCCACACGGAGTTCTCATTACCATGCAAATGTGAAGAATGTGCGTTTTCTATTTCGGGATTAATGATAGTGAACAACTTGTCGCTATCATAGTCTCGAAAGGTTACTTTTATCACATCACATGTTCATACCAATTTATACATTGTTTATGCGATATAGTTCTGTTTATGCGATTGATTCTCATCAATCTCGGGAAATAACACACATCTGCACATCAAATTGACCCGCACTGTGTCGAAAATTTCTAAATTCTCAAAGATTCAAACTCAAAAATTTGCCTCAACTCCATAAAGAGAATACATAACAACAAAATAAGCGATCAAGATCGACCTTTTTTATCGCATCAGCCATTCCATGATAACGTTTGACTCCTCCAGCCTCCCCGGAAAGCTGCAGTCGAGTTTTCGACGTGTCGATGGGATATCTACTCCAACACTGTGAACACTCTTAATGCCATAATGTACGTGAAAAAATCAGCAGTTTGGCTAGCAAGAGCTCCAGCGAGTGGTCTCACCCACCACTTCTCATCAGCGTGAGCCTGCATGGAAAAGGAGGCGAGTTACTACGGAAGGTGCGATATGAAGTATGATATTATTACTAAACACAACTTCAAATAGTGGCCACAGTCGGAATAAATAAACCAGTCATGCAAAAACGGACTGATTCCTCTTCTTACGAAGAATGATCTGTTCACAGAAGTGTGGTATAACAGACGAGAAATATTTCTAAAAATAAATAAATAATTTTCTATTATTTACTATCACCACGATTCTCTCATCATAACAAAATCCATTTACACTGCAAATCGGCAGTTTTCCAAAATCATGCGTAGGGTGATTCGACTTGAAGCCTTCGCCTATTCTGAACTCAACTAAAGTGACTTCACTTAAGTGGCACACAGGTGACTCACTACACAATTTTATAAAACATAGAATCGACGGACACTTTGAAAAGGCATACTTCTTCTGCCGATCCTCTGTGACCCCGAGCTTCCTCGGCAATTTGTCTCCATCCGTTTACTAGCCAATACTGCAATTATTCTTGTGGTGAATACTCACAAATTGTTCATCTACGGATTATCCGTAACGGATATGATTCCCCCGACCATCTGCTGAACTCAACCGCGGCTCTTTTGCTCATACTTGGACAACGTGAGTATAAAAAGGATCGCCATCATCATTTCCATAATGCCATCTCGATATAAACATTAGTGACAGAACAAGTCTGCTGCGACCTAGACTAGGTCACCTAGTGTGGGAGGGAAAACATGCACATGTTCAACTACAAGTGTTGGTGATGACAATATGAAAATTCTGGGGAAATTTTGGGAATTTCTTGCTGGTTTTTGAACACTTCTACCCGAATTCGTATATAAACTTCCATGATTAGTGAGGAAGCTCCTGAGCTCAGCTGAGGAAAGCGAACATATATTCCTACTCCAACACTGTGTTCACTCCTGAGCTCAACTGAGGAAAGCAAACATATATTCCTACTCCAACACTGTGTTCACTCCTGAGCTCAGCTGAGGAAAGCGAACATATATCCTAC